ATTTTAGCTTTCTGGCTTTAATACAGTTGAAAGAATATTTCAGTTAGAGTCAAAAGGCCCAGGTTCAAATCCCAGCTCTCTACTGTGTGATTTCAGGTCAATCAATTAATCTCTGTGGACCTCAGTTCATCTGTAAAGCAAGGAGGTTGGACCCAATATCCTCATACATCCCTTTTAGCTCTAAATCTAAAATCTTTGTCACTCCCTGGGGCCAAGATTTCCATTAGTGCTGCCATACTAGATACACACTTATCCCAATTCTTTCTGGACTCAGGGCTGCTGGAACCTGAGGGCACAAACCTGCTCAATGCTTCCTCTTGGTCTAGAACTACTAACACTCCCTCCACACCCTCTGGTTGGTACTGAAACCCTAAACCTTCGCCAAAGGATTTCTTGTAGCATAGATTTCAAAGTTATTCACTTCAATTTTAAGCAGATGGGAGAATTAGCTTCATGATAAAATAAGTCAACTTCTTACAGGCAGAAACCACATTCAACACATCTTTGTATCTCCCTTCCATCCTCCTCTTTAGGCAAAGCTAAGCATAAGTACTCTGCTTGGAGTGTTGAGCTGAGTACTCTGAATGATAAAATAATAGTAATACATAATCATAGCTAGCATTTATATAGCACTTTAAAATTTGTAAAGCCATTTAGACATGTTACCTCATGTGCCTCAGAACAACCCTGAAAAGTAGATGCTATTATCCTCCATTCTACAGTGGAGGAAATTGATGGAAACAGAGGTTAAGTGACTTGCCCAGGGTCACACAGCTAGTAAGTGTCTGAGGCTGGATTTGAACTCAGGTCTTGACATCATGCATCCTGAGCACAATGCCAAGTCCTAGGTGGCATACACAGACTTGGGTAGAACTCAGTCCCTAAGCTGGTGGGGGAGGGATTGTCATGGAAAGGTCACTGGATGGGGATGGGGGGTTGAATCCTGGTCCTGCCATGTAATACCTTTGTGACCTTGGACAAATCTCTTCCCCTCCCCAGCCCTCAGTTTCCTCATCTGCAAATGAGGAGGTTAGACTAAATGGCCTCCACTTAGGGGCTCTAAATCCATGTCCTCTGATCTTTGGACAGTAGAGATAGAGCGAGGATGTGAACGTTACGTATTTTGAGGAGGGAGATGCAGGCCTACAATTTCATCAATGTGGAGAGCAACCTCCACCAAAACAGACTGATAACACACCTGTAACTTAGCATGTGAGGGAGGTGCCTAGGATACTGAGAAGGTAAGCTAGTTACGTGCCCAAGTCAACATGTGTCAAAGGCAGAACATGACACCAGCACCTCCTGACTCAAAGGCCAGCCCTGCAGCACTACATCATAGCTACTTCTCTGAACAATTAAGTCATTTTACCATGACTACAGGCTAAACAGGTTAAAGGATAAGGGTACAAAATGCCATGATCACGGTCTGCCCTTTATCTCATAGTACTTTATGGTTTTCTTTTCTTTTTTCATTTTTTTTGGGGGGAAAGGCAATTGGGGTTAAGTGACTTGCCCAGGGTCACACAGCTAGTGTCTGAGGCCAAATTTGAACTCAGGTCTTCCTGACTCCAAGATCGGTACTCTATCCACTGCACCACCTAGCTGTCCCTAGTTTTCCTGATATTGTGATATATGTGATTGCATTTGATTCTTACAATCTAGTAATAAATAATAATTGATATTTACATGGCATTTTAAGTCTCGCAAAGCACTTTACAAACCCTACACAATTCTGCTTCTCTGCAGGGTTCCTAGCATCACACCTAGGCTCGAGGAAACCTCATTAGATCCTCACGATAACCCTGTGGAGTAGATACCATAGGTATTATCATCATTTCCATTTTACAAATAAGAAAATTGAAGCTTAGAGAGGTTAAAGGTCTCTCCTATGGTCACCCAGCTAGTAAATGCCTTAACTCCAAATCTAGAGGTCTTTCCACCACACCCACAGCCTTCTAGATTAATATTTAGGGAGCCTGGATTCACTCCCATGTCTTACTTACACTTCCCTATGACCTTGGACAAATCGTTTAATCTCTCTCTTTCTCTCAACTTGCCCAGGGTCACACAGCTAGTAAGTGTCTGAGGTCAGATTCAAACTCAGGTTCTCCTGACTTCAGGGCTGGTGCTAAATCATTTAATCTCTAAGACCCTCAGCTTCCACATCAATAAAATGAGAGGCCTGGACTAGCCCATCTCTAAGACCTCTTCCAACTCTCGATCCAATCACCTCTTTAAGGTAGGCAGAGTAGGGTTATAATCTCCACTTTACGAATAAAGAAATGGAGACAGAGATGTTAAGAGACTTGCTTGACATCAAACAGCCAGGTGGCAACAAAGGAAGGACCAGTACTTGTAAGCTTACAATCTAGTTCTGGTGAGGAAATGTGGATACAGGAAAACAGGATTGGGAATATAAGGCAGTAAATGGAATATTAAAAGGGAAAAGGACTTCAGGAGACATCTGACTCAATTCAGATTATACACAGAAGAAATTAAGGCCCAGGAAAGTTAAACAATCTACCTAGGCCCTACTGAAACCTGTATTAGCTACCAATCAAGCCAGGGAGCTCTCTCCTGCTGTCTCTCACCATCTAGTATCATATGATTAATCTGGACAATCCTAGTTGAAAAGGCTCAAATTCACTGGCTGAGAGGTGGAAGGAATCTCCAGGGATTGTCTGTTCCATCCAGTCCCCTGCCTCCAGCCAGAATTGTCCTACAGTATACTAGGCAGATTAAAATCTAATTTGTTCAAAGGTCACCAGAGAAGGAAATTTTACCCTTACCACCCTCTAAAACTATTATAATCATATAATGTCAAGAGCTGGAGAAGGCCTTACAATTTGTCTTGCCCAGCAATTTGCCTAACCAAGTCATGCCATCCAGTCACTGAACAAAGTCCTCTCTCTGGATCTCAAATTCTGTTTCTGTAAAAATAAAGGTGTTGGACTAGATGAACCTTGAGGGACAACACAGTTCTGAATCCTACGGTTTGCCTCATTTTGCAGACAAGAAATCTGGGCTCAGAGATACAAATTGAAGTCATGTAGACAGTGGTACAGCCAACTGGCCAGCCAACTCCATCCAGTATTCTATGCACTCTGCTCACATGGGTTTCTCTAGGGCTTGTGTGCTTTTGAATGTTAACAATTTGAGATCTAAAACCCTAGACCAACCATTCCTGAAACTGCCAGTTATGCCACTGATAGCCTCACACTATGTTTCCTGAGAGTTCCTTCTCCCATTGATGGGTTCTTCCCAGATGCTGTAATTTGGGGAAAGGCCTCAGATCAACCATCTCTGATTCCCCCAATTTAGTCAACATGCCCTCGGTCAGGTACATCTCCCTCTCTCCTTTTCAGATCTCTCTTATGTATTTTCTTCCTTCATTAGAATGTAAGCTCCTTGAGGGAAAAGACTCTTTTTGCTTATATTTATATCCCTATCCCTTAGCACAGTGTCTGGCACATTAATAAATGCTTGTTGACTGACCAAGACCCATGGTAGATCCAGACAAGCAACCACAAACATAAATGGTAAACATTAACATGAAGAGATCAAGACAAAACATATACATTGCATAGAGAGGGGTAACATGGTATAATGACTAGAGTTGGTCTCTGGGTCCAGAAGACTTGGGTTTGAGCCTGCTCTTTGATAGATACCAGCTGTATGACCTAGGACAAGTCGCTCAACCTTTCAGGTAGCTCTGTAACACTCTAAATTGCAGGGGAGGGTGCTGATTTGCTTTGGTAGACCAAGTTTCTTACTCCCAACTCAAGCTCCCTAGAGGGAGGAAAATCATAAGTCTGATCAAACTAGGTAAACTGGGAGAAAATTCCAGGCTCAATTTCCTTTACTTTCTAGCTTTTGCTCTTAGAAGTGGTTGCTTAGATCCTAAATAGTCATGGATATAGTTAAAGTTTGTAAAAAAAAAAAAAGTCATACATAATAGGAAATGGTGCTTCAGAGAAGCCTGGAAAGTCATATGAACTGATACAAAGTGAAGGAAGAAGATCCAGGGAAACAATAGATGAAATGACTATAATGTTGCAAAGTAAAACAATAACAAAACAATTAAAACTGAATGCTATAAAATTATTGTGACCAAGCTTGGTCCCAAAGAAGAGATATTAGAGGATACCACTCCACCCACCCATCCTCAGCCCCCAGCATTTGCAGAGGTAAGGGACTATGGGTACATATAATGTCAGACTTTAATATGTTGGTTAGTTTTGCTGAATTGTTTTCTGTTTTCCTTTTTTACTCTTAGCTCTAAAGAATGGCTGAATGGAAAGAAGTTAGAGATGGGAATGATAGAGAGGTATATTAGGAAATTTAGATGATGTAGAAATAAGAGTTTAATAAAATTGTATTTAAGAGAAGATTAAAGCCACGTAACTCCTTGACCTCTGTAACCCCTGACCAAGAACAAGGTCAGAAGAACCTACAATCTCAGGCAATAGACAGATACCTTTCTTGGACAGAGCTGTCTTTGAATAAGAAAGAGATGCTCCAAAGTTTTATTCGTTTTCCCCAAGAAGGGTGTTAGGAAAAAAAATGGGGTTGTTTAACAGCAATTCTTGACAGAAAGATGAGATAATTTCTGTTTTGATTGATTCCCCCATAAATTTACCCGGCTCTTTTCTTCAGAGGCTCCAACACGTCACACAGCTCTTTCATCCTTGGAGAAGCCTCCTCAAGTAGGTAGAGGGGCAGGCCTAATTGATCCCATTTTACAGGTGGGCAAAGTGGGACCCAGAAAAGTCAAGTGGCTCATAAAAAGTTATGTGAAGTATCAGTAGAAGCATGAGAATGGAAACTTTTTCTGCTCTGTATTCCAAAGACACACAATGCGCACACAATGGCCACAATTAGACCCACAGGCCATTCTCTTCCTTTCCCACAGGACCCCATTGACCCATATCATTTCCTTCCCCCACTCCTCTCAGCAAGGTCCTACCTACCTCCCCAGCCCAGGAAGGGCCTGTACTTACTCCCATTCTTTCCTCCGGGCTTGAGGTGTGCTCTGCATCTTGTGAGCTTCATGGGCCTTGATGATATCCCTCTGCTCAATGAGCCCTCCCCGCCTCCGCTTCATGACCTCTGGGCTCACGGGGAGGAATGGGCTCAAACTGGCATCGAGGGCACCGCTGCCTTCCCATCCTGAGCCTTCACCCTCCTGCATGGGGAAGAAAACAGAGGAGGCATCGAAGCACAGGGCACGTGGGGATCCTGGTAGGGCCCCTGTATCTTCCAGGGCCTCGGGCTCTAGCAGAGCAGAAGTCTGGGTGGGCATCATGCCTGGGCTGTGCTGGCGCCATGTCTCCTCCTCAGGCAAGGACAGGATGTGTCGGTGGGCAGCAACACCAAGCTCAGGGCTTTCCCGTGTGGCCGAGGCAGGGATGAGCTCCTGGGACTTGTAGGCTGGGCACGGGCTGCGTCCATGCATCTCTGGCACCATCACAGCACATTGCTCTAGGAGGAAGAGGGAAGAGGGAAGAGGAGGAGAGCCAGAAGGGAGGGGAAAAGTCAATGACAAGTCCTTCCAGAGAAAGGTCATCTTTGCTCAATGTCATTCCTCAATAAAATCACTAAGCAAATACAACTCTGAAGGACTCTTAGCCCTCTCCACACCATGCTACCTCTACTAGGACTATCACATCCACCTTCTCCCCACTGGCGACCTTGTCTCTGCCCCTGAATCCTTCAATTCTGATAGATCAGTCATTGTCTTATCTTGCTGGGGCCCATGACTCCAAGCCACTTCCCTGACTGCTCCATGCCATATCTCCCTCTTTTCAGCAGCCCTTTTTGACTTATCTTCTCTCTTCACTTGAGGGCAGGAACTGTCTTAGCATACCTTCTCACCCATGTTATCTAGTTTCTAGAGTTGTATCCATTAATATTTTTGCCAGCCTCCTCTCCCCATGATCATTAAGGAAAGGTGTTAAATCTAAATAGAAAATAGAAATGTTCTAAGTTTGAGTGCTACAAAACCCAATGTTAATGGTGAATGGAGCCTGACCTCCTAGGAGAGGGGCTTGAAGGAGAGTTCCAGTCCTCTCTTTCTCTCATTTGTCCCCTTCAACCTATTTTCTTGGCACAATCCAGCATTCTGGGGCTCTCATTAATGCAGAGCTCCTGTTCCTTGTGGCAAGAGTCATATATTTAGTAGTTAGGACTTGGGCTGGGGGTGGGGGGAGTGACTAGGGGAGAACAGAAGGACTAAGGAACATGGGGAAGAGTTTGGGAATTATGGGAGAAGACAGCCATGGAGCAAATGAATTTCAAGTTTCCCCAAAGAGGGCTGCGTGGGACCCTTGTAGGAATGATTCATGCTTACCATGTCATTCTGTCTCAACTTTGCTTGATGGATTTTAAAATTATCCTTCATTCCTGCAGTGTTTAAATGTCTCTCCCTTCACACACACACACACACACACACACACACACACACACACACACACACACACACATCTCCTCAGTCTGTTCACAGTCTCTCTTCAAGGCTAAAGGGCTTTCCCGGCTTCTGCCTCTTCATATCCTTGTCCCTCTCTAGAAAGGTCCCTGGGACCTGACCTCCCCTAGACTTGACTTGCCATCAGAATCCGTCTCCTTTCCACTTCTACCAGCACCATTGCTCCAACTTCAGACCTCCACCATCTGCATCATAGATTTACCCTTCCAAGAAGCTCTGCTGATTTCAATAATATCTTTGCCAAAATCACAGCAGCAATAATATGTACCACAGAACTCTAGCTTCAACAGAATCAACTTTGAGAATATCAAAACATGGAATTATCTCATCTTTCCTTTAAGAATTACAGTTAAACAATGCCACTATTATTGATATAGATGTTCATCAGGAGAACCAGTTTTTTGTTGCCGCTGTTGTCTGTGAGACTGGCCAATCCCCACCATTGACCATGTTCTCTCATGAGAATGCTTCCTGTTTCATTCTTCTGCAGATAATCAGGCAAACATTCAGAAGGGGAAGGACAATATCTTCTTAGGAGTAGATGAGGCAGGAGCAAATTCAGGAAGTGAACAAGTATGAACCAAAAGCCAGGCTAGGTTAGTATTATGGAATGTCCATAGTGCTGAAATTCAAGGGGCTGAAACAAGTCAGGTAAATTAGTTGCCAGGGGCAAAGATTCAAGCCAGGTCATCAACAATGAATCGGTAGGCAAAATTCAAGGAGTTCCAGACAGTTGATTCTTGGTCTGGCTCAACTTGTCTCTTCAAAGTCTTATCAGTCAGTCAATACACACTTATTAAGGGCCCAGCACCATGCTAAGCACTGGGCATACAAGAAGAGTCAAAAGACAGTCTCTGCTAATTGAGGAGACAACAGGCAAACAAATATATACAAACAAGCTATATACAAGATAAAGAGGAAATAATAGAGAGAAGGCACTAGAATTAAGGGGGTTAAGTAAGACTTTCTGTAGAAAATGAGCTTTTAGTTGGAACTTAAAGGAATCCAAGGGGCAGAGAGGGAGGGTGGGGCATGGAGGCAGCGTTCCACATATGGAGGACAAGCAGAGAAAATGCCTGGAACCCAAAGATGGAGTATCTTGTTGACCTTGTCCTTTCCACAATCTTTCCTCCCTTACAATCACCTCATTTTCTGATATATGAGCGATCTCCTTTATCCCAGGGCAAGAGATGCTCCCTCATTTTAATCAATATCAAGTTGGAGCAGTATTGAACAAGCTATTTTTCATCATTCATCTCAGTAACATAACCTGTAATTCAGAGCACTTAGCTCCACTTGGCACAGGGGTGTGCGTGTGTGCGCGCATACATGTGTGTGCACACACACACAAGCACACGTACACACACACACACTTCTGAAAGACAAGGGACACAAGCAAAGACTTCTGTGACAATCAGGGTATAACACTGGAAAGAGGTATGGAAGGAGGTTCTTCATCCCTAGGGATCTTTAAGAGAATAGATGATTTTCTGAGAGCTAAAGGCAGAGATACATTCTAGCTCTAGGGTTCTATCATAATCCATTCATTCCAGGCTTATGTAATCCATAGGGCCTAAGGCCAAAGAATGGAACCATTCAAGATGGGGTACAGAATGAACAGAAGAAATTCAAACTACAGCTTTTTAAATGTCATATCGAGGCATGCCCTCAACATTCCTGGTGCTTTCAAAATGTAATCATAGAGAAAATCCTTTCTTTTAGAAAAAGAGCAAGAAAATAATGGTGATTGCAATGATTTCCAAGTGTCCTGTGCCTGGCCCATCTTCACACCTAACTCACCTCTCTAATCTCACTACTGATCCTTATGGCGTGGTTTTACATTGTAGATTCTGGTGGAGGCCTGAGAAGAAATTTTCCCATGAGGTCCCCTTGCCTAGCCCAATTCACCCAGAAGCATTTTTTACTACGTATCTGGGAGAAAGCATGTCCTCTCCCTCCTCCAAGCCTTGTGTTCTCCCTTGCCTCCAAGCTCTATAAAATACAGAAGCTTGGGAAACAGTTGTGCTTATGTCTACCACCATAAAATAAAAATGGTTTTTTACTTCATCCCCCTCCTTTAACTATATGACTCTTCTCTTTAAAGGGATACCAACTGGGTCAGATTGGAGACTCTCATGCCTGAGGGTTTACAGTGTTCTATCTTCCTCCTCTCACTCTCTTACCCTCTCATTTTCAGGCCCTTTTTTCTTATTATTTCCTGCCTGAATGTTTTGTTTCTTCCCAATCAGCAAGTAGGAGCCATAGCCAAGTAGGAGTCTCTGGGATTCTTTCCAGGTAGCCCCCTGAGACTCCAACAATCAACTAACTCTTAACAGCCTAGCAATCTCACTCCACCCAGCCTTTCAAGTTCCTCCTTTAACACATGTGCCTCAGGAGCAGAGAAGGATTTTGGAAATGTGTCTGGTCCACAGCCTCCATAGCTCTGACTAACGGAGAGCTGAAGGACCCACAGGCCAAGTGGATTTGCCTGGGCCCAATTCCTCATGCTGTTGCTTCATGTGTGTGCAATATAGACAGTGCTATTGACCAGATTTTTTACCATCAGTATTTTACCTAATCATTCAAGATTCCCAAGGACCACTATAGAAAGAAGACCTCAAACTTTCTTCTCCACCATCATCACCATCACTACTATCACCACATTCACAATTGCCTTTTCCCCAACTTTCCAAAATAACACATCACCCTCTCAGCTTTTTAAAAGACTTACCACAAATCATCAGAGGAGAAATAGGGGAAGAGGGGCAGGCCCAGCTAAGTGCCTTTTACCCAGGTTTGTTCTATTAGTTCAATTCTGGCTCCTGCCATGGATTTAGCTATCCTGGCTGTCACATTTCCACCCCCTCGTGTCTGCATCTTCAAATATCAATGATGGGAGTAGGGGTTCTAGGGACATGGAAGGTACCTGTCCCCAAAAGTTCTTTTGATCCAGCCCTTCTGCAGAATCTCTCACTTTGGACCACTGACCTGAGAATTTGGAGAAACCCCTCTTGCCTACCTTTTTTCTTCCTTTTAAGACAAATTCTCCTATTTGAACCTCAAAGCTACCTGCCCTGCCCAGGTTTAAACTACCTCTTCCTTCCTCTAAGGTTTCCACATTCCAACTCCGCAGCTAGAGGGCTCAGTAGATATGGCACTGGGCCTGGAGCCAGAAAGACCTGAGTTCAAATCCAGCCTCAGTCATTTACTAGCTTGTGTGACCCTTGACAAGTCCCTTAATCTCTGTTTGCCTCAGTTTCCTCAACTGGAAAATGATAATAATAGCATCTACCTCATGGGGTTATTTTGCAGATTGAGTGAAATAATTGTAAAACACTTAGCGTAGTAGGTACTTTGTAAATGCTTATTCCCTTCCTCTTCTAGAATCATATACAACATTCCATTATCCGTATTTGTGCCTTTGTACTGTCCACCATGCCAGGAATGCACTCCCCCTTCACCTCTGCCTCATAGAATCTCTTTCCCTTCAAGGCTTATCTCAAGCACTACCTTCTTGAAGAAGATTGTCCTGGTTGCCCCAACTGCTAGTTCCTTCCTGCCCTATCTTGTATCTAACTACTTTATGTTCATTTGTAATTATTCTTCTTATATTTAATCTGTGTATGTGTGTGTGTATATATGTACACACACACACACACACACACACACACACATACCTTGGTGTGTGTGTGTATGTATGTATATATGTGTGTGTATATATATATCCTTGTTGACTTTCCCATTAGAATGTAAACTCCATGAGAGCAGGGATTTTCTCATTTATTATATTTGTATTCCCAGTGCCTAGCACAAAGCACAAAGTAAGCACTTAATATTTTGATATAAGAGATTTTTGAGTTTACCTAGTCTAAGTCTTCATTTTACTGATGAGGAACCTAAGACCCCAAGACATTTAGTAACTTGCCCAATCATAAAAGTTATGTGAGAACTGAATTCAGAATCATTCCATTACTGAAAACTATTGTCTGCAATCTCT